AAACCTGAAGCTCCCTCCTCTCCTCCCCTAGCCCTATCCCACAGAACAATACACGTGGGCCACCAACCTGCACACCAAGCCTCACACACATCTGCAAACAGTGGTACCTCGGCCCTGCTTAGAAAAGATGAGCAAATGTGGCAAAGTGTGAACAGTTGATGAATCTGGGTGAAGAGCAAACACCTGTTCTTTGTATTATTCTAGCAAATTTTCTAAGGGTTTATATTTTTTCAAAATAAAAATGGAGGGAAAAATAATGGTTTTAATATTTTAATATTTAAAATGTCTCAGAGTAACAAAGTAGACCCATCTTGACCTATATAGTTTGTAAATGGTGAAACAAATCCATAGTCTGGACTTAGGCTATAAATCTATTCCATACCCTGTGCCACACTGACACAGGTCTGTGCATCTGGGGTACAGGACACCCTGGAGCTATGGTTCTGCACTAACTTGGCCTAGTGTTTGAGCAAAAAAAAAAATCTGTATATGGAGTAGTCTTTACTCAGAGCAAGCAACCATCACAGAAAAATCTTTTTAGCTGACTCAATGTATTTTCTATAAAAGTTCAAAGTTGATTAGTCCAAGGAATTATTCCTCCATCACTAGCAAATCATATTCCTCACAATGGTTACAGACATAATAGCTGCTGGTTTGGAAGCAGAAACTATTAACAATAAGAATGGCAGATTTATATTTCCAGTATTTTTCCACTCTCAAGACCAGACTCCCTGCCACTTGCTTAGAAGAGTATGCTTTTATGAACAGTGAAGAGCGTGCTGTGTATTAAGATCTTGGCTTCAAACTACTATTCTCCATTGAAAGGAACCAGGCCTCTTTGGAGAAGTGGCTGATTCTAGAGCTGAGGCTGGAAGGTTCAAGATGAGTGTGGAACATGTGGTAGTGCCAAGGTCAGGGAGGGCTCACGAAAGCAAAAAGAGGAGGGCCTGTCAGGGGCACACGGGAGCTACCCAGAAGAGCTCCCAGTGACAAAGCTGGAGCAATATGAGCAATAGAATAGACAAAGTAGTTTTGAATTAGTAGCCTAAGTATAGAAGAAATATTCATAAGTCCATTGTGATAGAAATAAATGGTGGAAGGAAGGACAGGAAGGAGAGCAGGAGTGAGGGAGGAAACCACACAGAGACAAATAAATAAATGGAGGAGTGACAAATCTTCCTTACAGAGAAGGACTTAATTCCCACCCAAGCCCAGCCCCTGTGTATGGGCTGGACTAGTGACTTACTTCCAAGCTATAAAGTGTGGAAAGGGACAAATAGGACCTTTGGGCAATCACTGCATTAACTAAGTGATCAAGATCAGCAGCTCTTGGGTGTCCTCTGATGTGATGAGGAGTACGACTCTAGTGTTCTTTCTGAAAACACATAACCCCAGTCCAATCATGAGAAATACATCAGACAACCTCACACTGGTGGACATCACAAAATATCTGGCCAGTGCTCCTCAAAGACATCAAGGGGATCAAAAACAAGGAAAGACTGAGAAACTGTCGCAGACCAGCGGAGGAACTAAGACGAGGGGCAAGTAAATGTCATGTGGCATTTTGGATGGTTGTATTTGTAAACAAATAAATGTTAATAATAAATAAAGTGAATAGCAAATACATGTGATTTGTATATTCCCATATTGCAAGAGGAAAAAAATAGTGGAAAAGGAGAAACCTGTGTGAAGTTAATGGTAAAGTAACAATCCTTCGTTTCTTAGTTTTGATAAATGTACCCCTATATGTGAGATGACAAACTTCGGGGAATCTGAAATTAGGTGAGGGACATTTGGGAACTCTGTGTCACCTTTGCAACTTTTCTGTAAATCTACAATTATTTCAAATTTTAAAGTTTATTTTTAAAATTTAGAGTTTTATATATGAAAATGTATAGAATTTTCAGTTTCTTACATCACCATAAAATATAAGTATTACAATCCCTCATTTATATAAGATCTAGAAATTATGCATGATTAGTCAAATAATTGCCTTATAAATCATGATATATGCCCCTCAAGTCTGATGTTTAAAACAAACCCACTGACCCAATTTTGGCACCAATATCTGAAGCATTCATATCAATGACTTAAATACTGCAACAAAAATAGCACTTGACTTACTTAAACTATTTTCAATTTACATGGCAGCTCTAAACATGAGTTTGTGTTCCAACATGTTCTATAATATCATAAAGGTAAAGTTTTATTTGCTAACTGAAATTTAATCATTCAACAAAATTGATGTCAGAAATAAGATGTGATTTCAATTTTCTCCCAAGCTTAGTCAATCAAAAAAAGTTTGAGTTCTTATGTAAGACACTCTTGTCTGGTGTCCATCATGAAATATTTTCCATTTTGTGGTCCTAAAATAAAAGTGACATTCTGTTGAGTGTTTACATTGTATCGTGAGTACGTATACTGGGTCATGAGCTCTATGTCATTCCCGTATTCACACATCAATATCAACATCTCCTTAAAGTGGAGATATTTTATCTCCTTTTTACTAGTGTTGAAACTGAGATCCAGTGAGGCTAGTACTAAACCATAGTCACACAACTAAGAGCTGGACCAAGATTTGAATCTAGATTCGTCATATCTTCTCTTTCCTGAGAGAGCGGCTGAACTCTGAAGGAGCTCACGGCCATAGGAGACAAAGGACTGGCGCGTCCCCCTGACACTGTGTGGGTCCCTGCAGTGTCGTGGCCCTCTGTCTACTGTGGCCTTCATCACAATTTTCAAAAGTCTTTGAGGAAAATGTATTTTATTCATCTTATTAAACTTCTAATTTCATCAATATTGCCTGGAATTTAATTGGTGTTCAATACAAAGAAGACAAACTATTGCACAGATATAGAAAAGTGTCGTTATATTAGAAAAATACAGACCACTCATAACTCATCCTATATCTATTATCTTCCCCTCCTAGAAGGTGAAAGGTGATTTATTCAGAGATAACATGAGGGTTGGTTGACCCAACTGCCTTGCAACTTCGTCCAAGCTCATCTCAGTCCTGGGATGTATCCTTTCCATTCAGATGCTACTCCCACTGGGAGACCGCTCCTTATTCCCAAGGACAGGGTCGGGGCTCCTTCCTTTGGACCACCAGATGGTCACTCTGCACTCAGCTGCCTGGTGACTCTTTTGCTTGTCCCACTGAATGAAAGTTTATTGAGTCTTGCTTACCTCCATACTCTCAGCACCTGGCACCATGCCTGACACATAGCTATAGAACAGTATGTATTTGGTGAGACATTCCTGTAGCAAATTTTAGGTTTAGTAAAAAATTTATGGTCCATTTCCCAGGAAGAGCATGATGGGGGTCCTAACTTACCCATTGCCTCCTACTCAGATCAAAGCTCATAACTTCCTCTGAGACAGATGAGTCAAGATATTTTCATATATGCCAGACAGGGCATGAGTGGTCTTATGATTCATTTTCATTGTGGTCAACTGGAGGTGGTCCAGCAGAGGCTGTCAGGGCTCAGAGGAGGGAGGAGGGCATTTTGGCATTTTGATATGAAGTTCTCCAAGTCTGGGGCAGATCTCTCTTTGGATTACGTGATCTCAACAGTCTTGCAGTCTTGCCTGGAATCTGGTAGCAGAAAGGATAAGTTGTGGCTTCCTAGAAAGACAGAGATTTCATCATGTGAATATATGATGAATAAAACCTTGAAGAAGCTATTCACACCAAGATGTCAGAGCAGCTCTTCATTAATTCTATTAAATATTGACTTTCATCACTGAGATTCCTACTGGGTAAACTGCTACTTAGCATTGGAAGAGAGATTCTTCTGCTTCCCTCTTTCACTTCATTAATGCGACCTGCTATACTCAGAGAAGCACCTTACCGGACTCACTCCCCAGCTGGGAGCTGGCCTGTCTTCTAGAGATGCTCCTCAGAAAACTCCCAGAGGGGACTTACTTGCTGCTGTGGGCATCCCTGCTGGGCCTGGGTAAGTGGTGGGGAGCTCTGCCTGTGAGAAACCCGAGCTTCAGTGGCAAAAGCCTCTCATCTGGGCTGCTGAACAAATGGATTTTACTGCCACTTTAGAACAGCAGAAAATGAGCTAAGGGGGGGAGATATCAGTTTTACATTTGAGAGGGGAAAATTTGATTTCCAGAAGTATATTCTTTATTTGCTTTTAATCGCCTGTGGAAAATTCCTCTTAATCCAAAAGAGGGCTTATGTTTCCATAGGGAAAATGTAAAAAAAAAAAAAAAAAACCAAAAAAAAAAAAACTACAGTGAGCTTCAGTTACCTCCCTAATTTTAGATCATGAAATACAGAGTAACAGATGACCTGAGTTCCTTATGAAAGGACCATATCCTAACTGTGAGCTAGAGAAATGATTTACTGAGAAGAGTTACTTCCTTTTCTGTATTTTAAGGTAAAATCTATTTTGATGCCTGTAAAGAGACTAAGAAGAGAAGTAATAAGGTAGCTTTCTTTTGACGCCCCCCCCACCTTGTTCTATACTGCTTGCCAATATTTGTCCAAATGAGGCACAGTTTCCTAGAAGCTCAAGTCAGAAAACAGAGATCACTCATTCATTTGTACACCAAATAACCATGTTTACCTCATTCCCACCTTGTCTCCAGACTTTAACTAAGGTAAGAGTTACTAGTGTGACTGGCACATCATGAAAACAGTGAATAGTAAATGAGCAGAACAGGGCATGGTACTGGGTGCTACGGAGGACTCAGGGACATGGAGGACATGAATTTGCCCTCAAAAACTGACCCACTGATTAGGACATCAAAGCACACTAGCAGATTTGACTTGGCAGTACAAGGAAACTTTCCCACAATGGGTCAAAGGATTATGTGTGCTGATAACAATTAAATATTGATGAGCCTCGATGATGTCAGACACTCTTCTAATAATACTCCATGTATTGCTTTATCTAATCCTCTAGCAGTTGATGAGCTAGAATTGCTTTAAATCCCATTTTCAAATGGAGAATCTAAGGTGCCCTAAGTTTTATACACAATGGACAATGTCGGGATTCAAACCCATACCTGACATTGGTGCTACATACTACCCTGCACTGCATGCCCAGCTGAGAGTCCCAGTGAGCTGGATGTCAGCAATCTGAATCAGGGAAGAGAAGGGCACTCCAGCCCAGAGTCATCCCAGATGGCCTCTAGGAAGAGGTGGGATTTTTATCTGGACCCTAATACCTGGAGATACCTGCCTTTTTTTGGTACTGAGGAAGTAAAACATTTCGGACAAGAGGATAGTGAGGCCAAGTGTCAGCAGCAGCCACTGTCATGTTAAAAAAAGAAAAATACAGCAACTATTACTTGAAGGCTTATAAATTTAACTCATTAAGTGAATGATAAATAATTCCAAGGCCACTTTTATGCCTCCCATTTTACAGATGACAGGTACTATGCAGTTTGCCTAGGGTCTCATTGCTGAAATTCTAACCTGTGTCTGTCTGAATCCACAGCCTGAGCTTTTGGCTTCTCCGGGTGGGTGAAAGTTGAAGAGGGCTGGTAGGCTCTCGGGGTGGAAAGGTTTGAGGCAGTTTTCCTTCTGCTAAGACCTGGTTCTTGCCTCTCTTGCAGCTCCAGTCAGTGGACAACTTGGTAAGTCTCCCCTTTCTTTGCCCTGTTATTTCTACACGTGCAAGTGCCCTTCTCTTCTAAGGAGAGGCTGCTGTCTGCGCTTGACCTGAGGGCTACACACCTGAAAACACCCCTGTCTTAGGACTCTGAGTCACACTCTGAACCCAACCTGCTGTTGTGCTGGAGGAACTTGGGGCACTCATCACAGAAGTCAGGGAGAAGGGGTGCTCCCCTTCTTCAACATATGCATTGAATCTTGAGAGCAGAAAGTAGAGACATGCCATTGCCTCACCAGGGAGGCTGGGTGTAAACAACTTGTTCATAACTCTAAATTCATTACCCCTGCCCCTCAAAGCATGGCCCCTACCCTATTTTTCCTAAATGCCAACATTCAACGTAAACATTTTTCTCTTCAGAACTCATATCAAGATGACATTCTATGGGCACTGTACCCAGATGTTTGGCGATCCCTGCAATTCCTTCCAGCCCAGGATCCATCCCGGGGGCCACATATAGTCCCAGCTCCAGGCGGTGGAGCCATGGCCACTAGCAAGAACTGGTCCTGCAGTCCCTGGGACTGTGGGTCTCCCCCTCGGTGCTGTGGGCACAGGCCATTTCCCACAAATCCCTGCCTGACTGAAGCGAGATTGTAACTGAGCAAGTGTTTGATAATGGTTCTATGAGAGAGAAATAAAATAGAGAGTGCCTGACATCAGCTGAAATAGAGAGAGCGTCTTACATCTTATTTACAATATGTAATATTGACAACAGAGACATTCTGAAAGAAAGAGGTGAGGGAGATATTTTCCCCTTATTTTCAATAGTGAAAATTAAACCTCTTACTTTAATTTGTACTTTCCCTTATGTTCTCCAACTTTTGTTCATCAATATAGTTACTCTGAGAACCCACTGACTCAGGAAAACCGGACAGGGTATGTCTCCTCCTGGCCAGAGGGCCACCTGCTCTTACCAGGGGCAGCTTACTCAGAACAGCCAGGAGCCCCCTGCAGACACCAAAGCAAGAAATCCATTCCCTCCTGAACAAGACCAGCTGCCCAGTCCCCATTTCTCTATCTCCAGGCGCTTGCTGGGACCTGCCAGTGGGGATTTTCTATTCACAGCTCACTGGCGACAGGGTATTCTGTAGAAACCAGAGAGACAGAGACAGAAAGACAGAGAGACTGCGGAGACACCTCAGTGTTTCCCATTACCAAAAAGAATATTTACAGGAATGATAAGCCAAAAGTATACCCACATGATACCCAAAAGACTCTTCAGTTATAGAATTTTGGAAAGAAATATGATTTTACTTAGCTTTAATTATACACAGTAGCCAGAATTATGTTACAATGTGTTAACCACCAGCACTCCCCACAGCACCCATCAAAAAGATAAGGGACATTTAGCATCTTCATATAAAACAAATATTCAGGTTACTCCACTGCTGTTATCCCAAACAAAGGGAGTGTATTGCCTTTATATCTGGGTATGACTAAAACACCTATTTGGCCAGTTCTTTCTGAGATGGTAAGAATATTTACAGTTTTCAGCTTCAAAAAGGCAATTATTTTAAATTCTTGAATGTAGAGCCCTCCTTCTTTGACTTTACTAAGGAAAAAGTACACTTAAAAAGTGATTCCACTTAAATTTTTTTTTGTAAACCGCATACTCCTAAAATTAAGATTTTATTTTTGCAGAACAAAGTAATACAACGGAAATTACTTGTTTCATGTTTCACTTCACAGAATTTTGATTGCCACAGGAGATGTATAGAACAAAGCAGGGATCTAATATTGATTTTCTTTCTTTCTTTTTTTTTTGGATGTGGAGGCTGCCACAGCTTCAGGTGGGGACTCTGTTCCAATGGGAAGTGGGGGAGGGGAGGAGGGAGCCAGGACTGTGCAGGAACCCCAGGTCCGCACTGCTTCCTTCACCCTACAGGAAAAAACTTGCCCATCATCCTGAGACCCCAGCCCACTCCTGGCTTTGGACCTTTGACATCAATTTGTGCAAATAGAATCATGTGGCTGAGGGAAATAGAGTTTCACTCTTTCAAAACTAGTATGTAGGGGTGGGGAGGGCTGGGGGGGAGTGAGGGAGCAAGGGGCTACGGAGAAGAGTATTTGGGACTAATTCTCAGAAGCCAAGCGTTGTCCCCCTTCAGTTGTGGACGGGGACCATGCGGGCCCTCAGAGAGGTGGTCCCACATAACTGGCTCTGATTGTAGGAATGCCTGCATCGTCAACGGAATGGCAAATGTCACTTTGTAATCAGTTTTCACTGCACTCCAGTGAAAGGTCAGCCTATGAAAGCACTATCTTTGAGCAGGTTAGACAATAGCATTAGAGGAGAAAGGCCTTTTGAGTGCATTTTTCCAGCAGAGAATAATTTGGACTGTAATTACTTTTGCTATGTCAGAAAAGAAAGACTTTTCCTCTGTGCTCTGAAGTTGTAATGGGGGGTCTGAAAATGAAATGGATAAAAGACATATTAGCAAGAGAAAATATAGATTTTTATTCATTACTTAGAAAAGTACACGCATAAATTGTGATTCAAGGAGGCAGTGGGAATTGGGGGTGTATATACCGTTTGAATAGGGGGAGGGGTAGAGAAGGGCACTTACAGGAAAACAAATGACTTAGAAAGAGAATAGAAGAGAGGTATGGTAGTTTAGTGACAATGTCTGTTTAGTCATGGTGCTGACGTCTGAGTGATGAGGCAATTTTTCCGGGTTGCTCCTGGGAAGGCCATTTATGACCTTTGAATTCTTTTGGGAGGCTCTGCTTTTAATCAGATAAGGAAGGTCAAAGTAAAGCAGATATATAAACTATATAACCTAGTCTCAAGTGTCTTCAGCTCAAAATAATTTTTATGTCACTATTGTATTCCGAACTGATTCAGTTAGGAGCCCCCAAAGCTACAAAACTCAGAAAATAAATGTCAGACAAGAAAAAGCCCCAACTTCTAGTTGGGAAACAATTTAAAAATCATCTCCCAACCCCAAATTCCTCTCCAAAAAGGATGAAGAGAAAGGTAAGAGTCTTATTACTGAATAAATATTGACTGAGACTGTGGTGCTTATCACAAGCAATTTGATAAGAGATTACAGACAGAAAAGAATCTCACTCATACATAGCCAGGCAGATGCAGCCCACTACAGGTACATTCCCAGATTAAAGTACGGCTCATCCTCAAGTCAGAGGACTGGCTGGAAAGAAGCTTATGTGACACACGCGGCTCATTCTAACTTTACTGTGGTGACTAGGGAGACAGGCTGATCTGTGTTAGCTAATTGGCTTTTATTCAGAGAAATAAATTCTGATAGCTCAGGGCTGGAGGTGGTGTTGCATACACAGCAAGGTGCCCACTGAGCTCTTGTCCTCCCAGAGGAACTGGGAGATAGCCTACTGAAAGTCTGAATTTCAAGAAGATGTTTACTTTCTGAGAAAGACCTTCCTAAGTTATGAGACTGGGAAAGCACTTATAAAGATGTGCATACATTTGACAACCACACAGGAAGAAATTCTGAAAGAAAAAGAAGCGAGGGAGACATTTTTTTCCCTTTATTTGCATCATTGAGAATTTAAATCTCTTATTTTAATTTGCACATACCCATACATTCTCCAACTTCTGTGCATCAATGTGTTAAAGATCACAGCGCCAGATTTCATGCAGGGCCTATTTTATGGTGAAGAAAGAGGAGCTCTAGTTTGGGGAGTTGGGAAGGCTCCCAGCACTCAATCTTTGTAGCTGTTTGAATATGATCCTTACTTCAGACAACCTGCTCACCTCCCCACTTTCTGCTTCTTGGTAAAAGTACAACTTGGATTCTTTTCCATAATTATAATTGACATGTCTATAATTGACCCCATCTTCATCTACACCCACCCCTAACTCTCCATCACACGCCATGCCATGTATATGCTTATCTAAGAGAAGGGTCTGTCACAGGAGCTGGAGAGCGCAGGGGTCCAGGAATCTACTCAATCATCTGGCCCACCAGAAGAGCAAGGGATTTGTGAGGGACCCAGCCCTCATCTTCGGGGGGCTGACCAGCTGGGGTTGTCCTCCAAAAGGTGAGTCTGCTTCTGTATACAGGCAACGCCATCTCAGATTCATTTCTCTTCTCCTTAACAGTTGCACACAAATCAGTGATTTCCCTCCATCCCCCCTGGACCTCTGTCTTCCAAGGAGAGAGGGTGAATCTGACTTGCAGGGGATTTCACGTCAATGTGACAGAGACAACGACAGGGTATTGTTGGTACAAAAGACAAGAAATACTACGTGAAACCACAGGAAACAACATTGTTGTTAGTAAATCTGGAGAGTACAGATGCCGGGCCCCGGGCTCACTCAAAAGCAATCCTGTGCGCTTGATCTTTTCTTCAGGTGAGAAAGCTGAGTTAGTTAACATCTGAGCTCCTGGAGCTCCCAAGAATAGAGGGTCTCATACTGCTCTAACTCTTGGCCTCAACTACTTTCAGCTTCACATCTCCCTCGTTGTCTGTGTTTTTCAGACTGCTATTGACATCAGGATTTAAAGTCTAATATTAACCAACAAACATTTTTGCACACTAACATAGGGAATTAGATCTGGTGCTCCAGGACTTTGTAGCCTTTCCAAGGAACGTCCTATGCACAAAGTAGGAAGTAAAGAGTGTGGGGGTGCAATTGTATGGGGAATATAACCTTAATGAAAATGCATACATTGTGCAAAGATGAAAATGATGTAAGAATTATATAAAATAAAATATTAAAAAAACAAAACAAGATTTCAGAGATGGTAGGTTCCAACCTCTTTCCTTATGTCCCCCCCTGTCCCAGCAACTGTCCCTCCTCTATGTTCACTTTTCCCTCTTGCATGCATGACAGCCTAACTCTCCTGTCCAGTGATGCCTACTTTAGAGATGATGGTTTGGAAGCACCCATGGGCAGTGCTCTACAGAGCAGGCACTTGACAAAAGACAAATCGAAACATTTTTTTTAAAAAAATATTTATTTATTTATGCATACAAGAGCCAGGGTGTAGGCCAGAGGTGTGGGGGGTAAGAGGACTCACCAGAGACAGAGCAGGGAACAGAACAGGCAGACTGATTGAAATATAGTGCTAAGGGGAGCAGTGGGCAAGACAGGAGAGGTCTGCTGCTCCATGTGAGTAGCTCCCTGGCCAGGGATCGAACTCATGCTACAGTGGCTGGTGATAGCTCAATAGCTCTGAGACTTTAACCACTTGCACCACCAGGGAGGCTCTTTTCAGAATCTGAAGCTCTTATCAGAATCTGAAAAGCATCAAGTTTCCACAGCAGAGCACCTCCAACTTTCCCCACTGCCATCCGCTGTAGGGAGCAGCCAGTGTGCTGCCATCCTTCCCAGTGCATTTCTTCAAAAGCTCCTTCTGGGATGGCTCCTGCTCTGACGCATGGAGAGCACGTTGGTGATGCTCCTTAAGAGCAAAGACTATGACCATGCCTCCTCTCAGAGGTTTCTCTCCACCTTACAGTCATATTTCAAGTCTGCCTAAAATTGTTAAGTAGTGGTACTTGGGATTTATTTAGGACGGTACCTGTGGCTGATTAACTTGGAAGGAAATTAGTGGGTTTGGGTCAGGAGGCTAAATCCTGTAGAAGAAACAAGAGAACAACAGAGCCTTTATAATTTGTGCTACACCAAGGAAGGAAGGCTTCCCTGGATGACATGTTTTTATCTCTGTGAATTTTCCAGAGTCCCTCATCCTTCAAGCCCCACATTCTGTGTTTGAAGGTGACACACTGATTCTAAGATGCCAGGGAAGGAAGGATGTGAAGATGATTGCTGTTCAATACACCTTCAATGGAAAAGTTATTTATAAATCAAATAAGAGCTGGGAGCTTTTGATACCACAAGCAAGTTTACGTAACAGTGGCTTTTACCAATGCATTGGAACTCTGCACGGAAACTCTATATTTAGATCAAATACAAAAAATATTCGAATTCAAGGTAAATTCTTCATTTATATAGATTTGCTTAGTAACATCAAGATGGGGAAACTGTGCATGTCAAGAAGGAATCTATATGTTGGTATCAAAATACTGAATAAAGGAGAGTCCTAAGTCTTTTGGAGGCAGAGAAAGGGGAGTGATTGGATTTAAATAAACTGTGGAAGGAAAATGTGCTAGAGCAGTAGATAAGCTTGTTTTGTTGCATGTCTGAAGTTTCCTAGCACTGAGCATGTAAGCCTGCTTCTCTTACAGCTCTAAATACTCTCATGCTGAGAATTTGGTTCCTCTCTTCTCTCCAGAACTATTCTCAATCCCAACATTGAAAGTCACACCCTCCCAGCCAACAGAAGGGAGTTCTGTAAATTTGAGCTGTAAAACACAGCTTTCTCCAGAGCGGCAGGACACTCTCCTTCACTTCAGTTTCTTTAGAGATGGTGGGGTCACCCTGTCAGGATGGAGCAGGTCCCCAAAACTCCAGATCACAACTGTCTGGAGCGAAGACTCAGGAGCATATCAGTGTGGTGCTAAAATGCCGACCAGCAATATCTCCAAATACAGCCGCCCACTCCAGGTCCACATGCAGAGTGAGTGTGGGGGGTGTCAGGCGGGCAGGTGTGCTGTGGCCTGTGGGGGTGGGGACTGCCCCAAACACATGAATTGTGTCTTCCCGACAGAGACAGTCTTAGTGAGATGCTAACACAAAAGAAATACAGGAAGTCGTTTTTACCTCCATTTCCCTAAAATGAAACTCTGTCACCTAGAAGTGATGTAGCTGATTCGGGGAGTTGGAAACAAAAGTCGGGGAAAACAAAAACAACAAAACAAGGTCACCCTGTCACTGAATTGATTCCTCTAGGAAGCCATACGTTGGGGCAAAGGCAAACTATTTAGAGAACAAGCACCCTCCCCTCCCTAGTCAGTAGCAGCAAGCAATGTCAGTGCCTGTGATTTGTGAAGCAGACGAGAAGGACATACAGATGATAATAAATACAAAATAGATCTTGTCTTAGATGCCAAAGCAGGATTTCTGGAAATGGGTGCAGTGCAGCCCAGTGCCATAGTGGCCTCTATCGCTGTTGCCTGCCCTTTGAAACAGTTCAGACCACCAGAAATGAAACCCACTGCCTTCTCCAGGGATAACCAGTTCTTCTCTCCTGGAGCCTGAATCAAGATGAAAGCTCATCACATTAGTGGTGCTCTAGGTCCAAAATGCGCAGTCTGCGAGCCACAGTCTTAAAGTCACACCTGTCATCTCTGCTCCTCCAGGGGTCCCCGTGTCTGGTGTGCTCCTGGAGATGCAGCCCCCGGGGGGGCAGGCAGTGGAAGGGCAGAAGCTGGTCCTCGTCTGCTCTGTGGCTGAAGGCACAGGGAACACTACGTTTTCCTGGTACAGAACGGACAGAGATGAGAGTCTGGGCAGGATGAGTCAGAGTTCCCAGAGAGCAGAGCTGGAGACTCGGGTTATTGGGAAGAATCATGCAGGGGACTACTTCTGTACAGCTGACAATGGTTACGGCCTCCTCCAGAGCAAGCCCGTGAACATCACTGTGAGAGGTGAGTTTAGTTTCCATTGACCTTTTTTATTCTCATCTTTTCCAATTCAACAGAGAGGTTAAATGTTCTCAAATCTTTGTGACTCTCCTTTTCCAATTTCTAAGTTGTCATTTCCTACTGTGAGAATGTCTTCCATTCAAACATCAATAATTTAGGTCACGGTGAGGCAGTGCTGGCCAGGAGCCATTTGGCCTCTGGAAGATGAGTTCATGTCTGTGTGCTCATCCACTGTGTACTGATCTCAAAAAGCAGCCTTAACTTGTGGACAGCGTTTTAGGGTGAGTGCAGCTTTATCATCCCAGTGTCAACTGTCTCGCTTTTCAGTAAATAACCCACTGCATGCCAGAGCCAGAGGACAAGGGCCCCAGGCACTCCTTTACTCCCTTATTGTGGAACTGAGGGCCTCAGGAACCAGACAAGGGCAGAGAGCAGAGGGAGAGACCAGGTCGTTCACCGAAAGACAAGCCTTCTCTTGGGATCCCACAGTTCTAGATTCTATCTCTGTCTCTTCTGCCCCCGGCACCCTTCACAGTAAGAAACGGGTTACTAGTGCCTTCATTCCTCCTCTGTCTCCGGTGCAGTCACACCCCTGGTTATCAAAAAAGTTTCTTTTTATTGCGGAACTATTTGAAATCTGGGTTTCCCTGCTTTCCTTTATAGTAAAACCCCTCCAAAGAGTTATCTCTACTCACTCCCTTTACTTGTACTTTCTCTCAAACTCATTACCATCAAGTTTTTTTCACTCCATTAAAATTATTTTTGCAAAGATTACTAATGGCCATCCTGTTGAGAATTCTTTGTTTTCATTTTACTTGACCTACCACCAACTTTTAACACCATTTCCTTTTCCCTTCTTGAAATGCTGCCTTCCTTTACTTCTTGGACACAATTCTCTTTTTGTTTCCATCTCATCATCAGACACTGCTTCGAGTCTACTTTACAGGACCCTCATTTTATATCTAAAGTCTCCACTGTGCCTACCCTCTGAATCACCTCCTCCAGTCTCTGGCTTCAAATGTATTATGACTTCTAGATACTTCATACCTCATGACCTTTGCACTGTTCTTCCCCATAGCTTCATTCTCACCCTTTACTTCTTCCAGAACTCTACTTATCTTTTCAGTGAGCCTTGACAACTCAACCACCCCACAAAGCATAGCAGCCCTTCCTCTGACACCCCCCTCCAAGTAACTGCTTGATTGTTCCCCGTGCACTTACCACTAACTACATGTCATGTGGTCTTCTTTTTGCTTGCTGTCTCCTCTCACTCCTTCCAGATTAGCCTTGTGAGAATAGTTCTTTACTTTGATCACAATTGTATCCCCCATTCCTGAATCAGGGCCTAGCTAATAGCAGCCTCTCAATAATTATTTGTTGAATGAATGGATTTTGCATGCATCATTTTTGCTGATCACAAGGACAATCCTAGAAGATAAAGTTATTTCCATTCTACACAAAAGGAACGTGAAGCTCAGAGGAATTTGGAAATCTGCAAAAGCTTTTATCTAGCCCCTCAGATTCAACACAATCCTTTAACTCAGGGACACAGCAAGAGTTGTCAAAGTACTCCAAAGAAATACAAACAACTACCTCCCATAAACCATGCTAAACGCCCAGAGCTCTGCTACTTATCTGAGCAGTGAGCCCTGACAGGGAAAGCCGTGAGCCGGAACGGTTCAGTCACGGCTCTGGCAAGGGGCTGCTCTGCTCACGGCCCAGCTGCTGTGCAGTTTTCCCATCAACTCCCTTGAGGCGAGTCCTGTGATCAAGTGGGGCGCTCCCCGATCAGGGGACTGATGTGTTCTGCATCTCACCCTGGAAATTTCTCAGTGAACAGCAACGTTGAGTACAGTTCCGATCAGAGCAGGGAATAGACTGCACCTGACGCCATTTTAAGGGCATTTCAAGAATCAGGTGGGTGGCTGATGAAGGGGTTAGCAGAAGTGAAAGCCTCCCACAGACACTCCCTGAAGACTCTTGAATGCTCGAGAAAGACAATCACTAAATGATTTCACTTTTATGTAGTAGTAAAAGAAACAAAACAAATGAAACAAAACAAAACAAAAACACACTGTGGACTCTGAGAACAAACAGTGGTTATCAGGAGAGACAGGAAAGCCAGGTGGGTAAAAGGTAAAGGAGGTAAGATGGTTGGTGATGAAAGGAAACTGGACTTTCAGTCATGAGCACAATGTAGTCTATACAGATGATGATAAATCTGCACACCTGAAACCTCCATCATAATATAAAACAATGTTACTTCAGAAAAAATTGAATTTAAAAATTAAGATAAATTTCAGAGCAACACTGAAGGTAAGAGCGATACTTCTCCAGGAAGGCTCTTCAAATGAAAAGTTTACCTCGGGGTCATCCCCCACCAGGGCCACAATGCCCAAACAGGGTAACTGAATCTATTGGTACTTTACGTGTAAGTATGAAATCACCCATTTTCCTTTGGGCGGTGAAGGTGGTTAGAACGGCTGGGCGGGGCAGCGAGCTCATCACTCTTGTACACTCAATGTCATTTCACTCTTACAGTCTCTGCCAGGCAGGTGTCATCATCTGTTAAGGAAACAGGTGATCTCAGAGATTAAGCAGATGTCAATCATTCAGTTGATATTTGCCTGGTAGGAACTTCTTTGATTTTTTTTTGTTGACCACATGCAAAATCTTTGTTCTTAAAAATGGAAGAATTTCTAGCAAGAGAAAGAAACTCTGAAGTAACCTGGGGCACTAACTACTGGGATATTTTAGATTGTGCCATACTCAAAGCACCAGACACGGTGGCTTTAACAACAGAAATTTAGTTCTGGAGGTTGGGTGTGTGAGAGCAGGGTGCCAGGAAGGTGAGGTTCTGCTGAGGGTTCTCTGCATGACTTGCTGTGTTCTCACAAGGTAGAGAAAGTGGAAGGAGAGAGATCCCTGGTCTCCTCTGGTGAGAGCATCAATCCCAGCAGGGGGCCATTGTCATGCCTGCCTCTAAACCTGATTACCTCTCAAGGCCCCATGCCAAAATCATCACAATGGGAGTTAAGGATACTTCAGCATGTGAATGGGAACAATGGGCAAGATTTAGTCCATAAAATGGATGGAGTTGGCTGAGACTACCCCATAGGGGACACCAGGTGGGAGTAGTCCTATCTTGTGGGGGTATTTCTGAAGCAGAACAGAGGGTAGCATGAAGTTCCTGAGCACCTCAAATAATAGCTAATACTTACAAAACAATGTTTGTTATGTGTCAGGATCTCTTCAAAACACTTCACATAATCCACCAATAAATGGCAGGATTCCCTTCATATGATTGTGTGTTCGGTGTGTGTGTGTGTGAACCTCATTTTCTTTTTTTTGCACCACATTTTCATATCACACACACGCACACTCATGCACACACACACACATTTTTTTAAATCCATTCATTCATTGCTGGGCGTTTAGGCATCCTTGTCTTGGTTATTGTAAAGCATGCTACAATGGACATGCAACTATTTCTCAACACTTATGATTACATTTCCTTTAAATATGGACCAGAAGTGACATTGATGGTATTTTAGTTTTAACTTTTGAGAATCCTCTATATTGCTTTCCATAAGGCCGTGCCCATTTACATAATCCCTTTTCTCCACATTGTCACCAGCAATTGTGATTTCTTGTCTTTTTGGAAAAAAAAAACACCTAACAGGAGTGAAGTGATAACTCACTGGAATTTTTGATTTGCATGTTCATGATAAGTAGTATGTTGAGCACCTTTTCATGTACCTGTTAGCCATCTGTTTGTTTTCTTTGGAAAAATGTCTATTCAGGTTCTTTGCCCACGTTTTAATTGATTATTAGCTTTTGTTATGAGTTGTGAGTTCCTTATCAGATATGTGATTTGTGACTATTTTCTCTGATTCTGAAAGCTGACTTGTTATTTTGTTAATTTATTTGCTATGCAGAAGCTTTTTAGTTTGCTTTAAACTGATAAATTTATTCCGTCCTTTTCAACTTGGATGGTTTTTATTTCTTTTTCTTGTCCACTTGTTCTGGCTTGAACTTCCAGTATTATGTGGAATCAGAGTGAAAGTGAGCACCCTTGTATTATTCTGAATATTAAAAGAAGAGCTTTCAGCTTTTTAACATTGAGCATGCTGTTAGCCGTGGACTTGTCATATTGGAGTTGTGTTGCTTCTACACCTAATTTGTTGAGTTTTTTATCCTGAATTGATGTGGAATTTTGTCAAATGATTTTTCTGCAGCTATTGTGATAATCATGTGATTTTCATCTTTTATTCTATTGACATATTTCACATTTATTTCTTTGCCTGTATTAAATCACCCTTGCATTCTCTGGTTGAATCCCACTTCATCACGGTGTCTGATCCTTTTAAAGGGCGTTTGAATTCCATTTGCTCATGCTTTGTTGAGAATTTTGCATCTATGTTCTTCAATAATATTGTCCTGTAACTTTCCTTTCTTGTAGTGTCATCTGGCTTTGGTGTCAGGGTAATGCTGGTCTCATCAAGCTAGTTGGGGAGTGTTCCCTCCTCTTTAATTTTTGGGAGGAGTTTAAGAAGAACCAACATGAATTCATTTTTAAATGTTTTTTAGAATTCACAGTAAAACCATCTGTTTTTGAGATTTTCTTTGTTAGAAAGTGTTTCATTACTGATTGAATCTTCTTACTCATTATTGGTCTATCAGATTTTTCTATTTCTTTATGATTCAGTCTTGGTAAGTTATATGTTTCTAGGAATTATCCATTTCTTCCTGGTTATTCTGTGCTTTTTGTTAGCATATAATAATTCTGTGATTTTTGAACTTATATAAATTTCAACTACTAGAGTAGTCATATCTTCTAGGACATAGCGTTCCCTCAGGGAGGAAAATATACTTTTCACTCATTGAATCTGAGATCCTACATGTTCTAAGTGTAGCTGATTATGATTTTGCATGGGTGGATTCCCAGGGAGGCAGTGGAGAACGATTCACTACAGGACAGAGAACCCAGATTTCTCCCCAGC